TCATGCCCCCAGGAATTTATCCGGATAAAGTCCTGGGGATAGCCCCTCCCAAGTATGTCCACCCCCCATCTATCTATCTATCTATCTACCTATCTTTCTATCTTTCAGAATCATCATCACCAGCAATGCGATCGCCACTCTAGGCTTGGTCAGCTCAACCAAGACTTGTCGGAGAGCGTGATCAAGGTTCGTTCAGACCTGCATTCAGCGATTGAGCGAGCTGACGGCTTAGTTTGGCAGCGGCATGCGAGACATTTGCGATTCCGCCCTTGCCAGCATCATGTAAAAGTGTATGCACATGAGTAGAGAGGTGCGCTCTGCCCGATTATTCATTATTGCCTTTCCTGATGGCAGTCGAGGTCAGGACAGACTACGAAGAAGAGGCAGCGAGATTAGATGCAGCCAGCTGCCCAACTATCTCTGTGGATTTTGCAAATTAGATATGACATGCAGCAGTCAGTATGAGAAGCTATCCTGGAAGCCACCGACAAGGACTTGGGCGACTTGCATATGAAGTACGATGTTGCCAAGCAAGAGATCAATTTCTTCCAGTCGAAGTTGAAGGACGGTCAAAGCTTTGGCCGGGGTTCTCTGGCAGATGCGGCTTTGCCTGCCCCATGCGAGGAACAGCGCGACTGGACCGAGAAATGTCTTGCTGAAAGTGGGGCAGTAACTCGGGCAGCTGCCCTCGAATCTCAGGCACTCTTGCATACTCGCAGAGTGCGGTTTCGGAGTGACGATGTGCGAGCCGACGTTGCTCAGTAATCAACGTGCGGCCAGCCATATTGCATGGTCAACCATCGGCAATTGACCCTGCTGAGCACTTAGAATGCCAGACGTTTCCTGCCGCAAGCAGCGACAGGAAGGTCTGGCAGCTACGACAAAGATGCTGCATGCTCTTCGAGACGATGCTGCCATCAGCCTGAAGCAAACACCAACCCCAACTTGTAACCCCTTGACACTTTTCTTCAATACAAGGTAAGCTTTCGCGAGAAGATGGCGAAATACATCAGTATTCTGCAGCACTCGCGTTCGCCCAAGCATCCTCAAGACGCATAAATACTCAGCAGAGCCTGTTTTGTGAAGCTTATTGTCCGGTGCCTGGGCCTGCTCCATGTTTGTCACCCAAGGTCTGATCAGCAAGGTGAAGCTTTGAATTCGGCAAGGTCCCCAATCGGCGAAGCAGATGAAGTGGATAGCATGATGTTGGACGCGCTGTTTGTCATGTCATGTATCACTGGAATTTATATCGAGTGCAATTGTCGGATACTGAGTTGGAGCTCAATCGCACATCGATGAGGGCAGAGCTTGATGCACTGCTGAAGGACCATCAGGCAGGGCTGCTTGCAACAGCCTGGTGCATGCACAATTGTGGTAGCCGAAGGTTCTGTACACAGGGGCTTTGAGTCATTTGCTAGCTGCTAGCTGCTATGCGGCATGCAGTCAGCCTTGGCATTCGGTAGAGCTATGCAGATCTTTCAGCTTTGCAGGAATACACTGGTGACATGGACAGCTGGGCGAAGGATACGAACGTCCAGGCGAAGATTCAGCCCCGACTGCGCTGCCCAAGCTTGCATCTCCAAACTGGAATTGTCTGGGGTGCACTTTGCAGGTGGAGAGGGTTTTCCGAGCCCTGGAGCCGACAAAGGCCTGGCAAAAGAAGACCGTACTTGAATCTTGCATAGTCATCCAATTTGGTGACTGTGTATTAGCTGTCCTGTCAGGTCGAGTGGAGAATAGAAAGAGCCATGCAAAAGTCAAAGGCTGCTTCCAAGCCAAAATCCGGCAGCCTCTAGCAGAAATCTGGCTTGAGGAGCTGCGGAAGCCCCTGGCTTTGAAGTCTGCCAGCTTTGGCATTAAAGGCTGAATCCGTGACAAAGTTGTAACTGCTGCTGGGTTGCAGTGTGCGGGGCGGCATGCTATCTGTCCAGGCATTCCAGAGGGCTTCATGGAGTTTTACCCCGAGGGGAACAACAACTCGCCAGAGGGGAAGGCGACTACCTGGGACTACTGCAATGTCGTCGGTACACCTAAGCACGGAAGCAACGGGCAGATGCTGTATGTATAGCTCTGAGCGAATGGTCTGTGCAGTTTGCATGGAACCCTGTTACAGAAGTCGCCCAAGCAGGTTCAAATAGAAACAGCCGGGGAAGTAGGCGAAGGGGCCTTGATTGGCCTCAATCAGGAAGTAGCGTTTCATGTGCAATGCTGGCAAGTACTGACCAGCGGCTATGCAATTTGCTGCTTTGCCATGCCATGAACTTCCCAAATGGAAGAAGACGCTTATGGGAGAGGCGGCGGAAAGGGAGTTGCTGCTGTAGGAAGGCGTGGCCAGAAAAGGCAAAGAACACGAAGAATTCAACAGAGCAGTGTGCACAGGCACCTCCAAGTATCTAACAATTTACCGTGACACTATGCATATCATTATTTGCAGAGGGATCGCAATGTAGCGGCTATCTTGAAACATCTATTCTGGGACATACAGCTTCGGCGGGTATTCGACACTCTGGGCCACAGGCAGTGCTGCGTCTCTATGTCCCGCCCCAGGCCAGGCAGCTTCATGCAGTATAGATGCTATTGGCTACTCTTTCCAAGACTTGATACCTTCGAAGGCGCATATCCGCTACCAGTGCTGGGTCGGAAAGGATTCGGATGGTGCAAAAGAGCTTTGGCCTTGGTCGTCTCAAGCTTGCAGAGTCAGTGCAGTCCAAGCTCCTCTAACATCCCTCCCGGATCCTTCCGGGTGAAACGACTTCCAGCAGTCGAAGGCTTGAATAGGGAACCAGGCATCACACCGGCCATCATAGCCCTGAACAAGGTAAGCAGCCAAGCCCAATAGAAAGCCCTGAAGATATCCGCTGCTGGAGCTGTAGCGCCAATCACACTGGGTGCGCAAGATATCGCAAGATGAGAGAGAAGGACGTGTGCGCCCACCGGCAGCCTGAGCAAATCTGGTCGGCCCGGAACGAACTTACAACATACTTTATTTACCTCCGAAGTGCAGCTCAAACACCTTGAGGCATGCTAATGGGACATGTTCCAGCACGTTACAGGGAAGGTGTTGGTAGATAGTCATGCATCTGCATCTGTGTTATAGCCCTCTTCGTTGCTGGACAACGGAGGCTTGAGCAGATGTTGATCTTGTATGATATTGTTATCAGATTGTGCACTTGCGCAACTGTTTTGAGACAAGTTTTCTGGAAGACAAGGCGAGCGCCATCATCTGATACATTATATGTGGACATGTTCCTTACAGACTGGGAGGACACCCGGCAACTCCTTTTTCTTTGCTAGATCTATTTGATCCAGGACCAGCTCACAGAAGAGGGAGCTGTGCTGGTGCTATTGGAGGCTCGAAAATTTTGGGTCTCTTTGAACCACCGCTTGCATTTATGGGCAGGTGCTCCGAGACTATAATAACGATGATGCGCCGCGTACTTAAGTTGCTTCAGTTCTTGCCAAGCAATGTTTGCCGGCAGGAGTGTCAGTAGGTGAAATCCTGCTTGCAGTGGACACACTTTCACAACAAAGGTCGCTTTCAAGGGAGATCCGCATCAACAGCGCGTGAATGCGGGAAAGTGCGGGATCAACTGTTATGGTCGCCATAATCTGGCATGATACCGTACGTCAACTCTGACTTGTCGGCACGTCAGCTTAGGGCCGTCGGTGTCAGTAGATGCCAACGAAGCTAGCATGTTGACCATCAGATCTACATAAGCAACTCAGAATTCCAGCGAGGAGGTTTCACTGCACCTGATGCTTGCATTGCAAAAGCAGCGAGCAGAAAGAGGTGCACTTGACGTTTCACTAGACTGGTCGAAAGGAAAACAAAGCTTCTCAGCTCCAGATATGCGAGCCATCTCAAGTCCTCGAGCACTTCATGCAAGGTACCTGCTCTGTTGTTTTTGGCAAGCTGCGCGTTTCGTTGATATTTCTGCAGCACGGCGGCAAGAGAAGTCATCCGTAGCCTGCAGGAGTCCTGCAGGATCCTGCAGGCCATGGCTTGCGGGATAGGCTTCTGAAAGCTCCCTCGAGTTTGCAGGAATTGCAAGTTGTTGTTTACTTGCAGGAATTCTTGCTTACCAATTTTGTTGTTCTTGGGCTATGGAGAGCTTTCGGACCATTTGGTCTGATATTTATGAGATTCAGAGGCGCGGGCAGGAGCGGGCACCTGAAATACTTGACGTGTCAGTCAACCCCCCTCCCACCTTCACGTCACGGAGACCCCGGACCTCAAGGCCCTTCTCGACCAGTGGCCGCCCTGGATTTGTTGGAGTTGTTGCGAGACATTGTCAAGCTCTTCATGCCACTAGTTTAAAGTTGTGTACAGTTCCGTTGCTTTTCCGCTGTTCCAGAGACCTGGAGAGATCAGATGTTTTGGAGGATGTTTACATCCGCAAGACTGCTCCTAAAAACGACCGGTTAATGGGACATGAACAGTAAATTACTGCATTGGTGGGTGTTGTAAGGCAGTAACGGGTCAAAGGAGTCAGAAGCGAGTAGGGTTTCCTAGATTTCCAACACAAGAAAGAGCATTGATTTCTTCAGGGTTTTGTAATTCAACGTCGGACATGGGGAAAAGCAGGATTATCCGATTGTGGATGAAGGGTTTCCTTTATGCTCGTTTTTGTTTGTCAAGGGTTGCGGGCTGTGAATACATGACATGGTTTTAAAGGCAATTTGAAGGCCATTAGCTTTATAGTTTTCTGCAGTTGCCAACTTTTTCTTGGACGACAAGATAGAATTTACTTAGAACAAAATCAGACAAGAGTCTAACTGGCATTTGGAGTCACCTTCAGTAGCCAATTATAATTAGACAGCGCATGCTTCAACAATTGAATAGGCCTCCTATTGTAATTTTTCGAATAAGATAATCCCAACAACACAATTATTCGGACCAGTGACCGCTGACTGGTAGAAAATCGGGGCGGGGAGCGATCACAGTTGCGGAGTCAGTTGCTGCAAGTCTCCACCGTGCATAGAGTGCTAACATGTACTAACTTTCGTACGCGCTGCTCAAGCAAGGGTTAAAAGAATGAAATATGGACTTGCAGCAGGCGCACAGAGAGATCCCAGCATCCAGTCGCCTCTCAGAAACTTGCTCCCAAAACCTCCCAGACCTCCCAGCAGCCTCAGCATTTCAGGATGAAAGAACAGGAATAACGCGAGGAACGAGGGAAGGACAAAGGAGAGAGAAGGAAGCAAGGAGCAAAGTCACCAGGGAAGGACATGGTCAGATGTCCTCATTTTCAGCCGCTTTCTGTAAATTTGGGCAGCTGCCCCTCAACCCCCTTTTCTCGAAATGCAAGCGACATCTGTAGTAACCCAATCTTGCTGAAAAATACCAGCTCTTTCCGGTACCTGGAAATAAGGAATCCCTGTGGCAAGGCGGGCAAGAGGTATCGGATAACAAGCAAGCAGGCAGGCATGGTTGCGATTGTGCATCTTGTCCTGGCAGCTATTACTGCTGTCAGGTAGCAATTCCAGAACAAACGTAGTGATATTAGTATTGCTGATGTTACCATTGTTTCCTCCATTATTGAGCAGCAAACACAATGCTTGGCAAGTTTCATCAACGCTTAGCTAGTATCTGACTGTTCTCATCTTCCGTCCAGCTTTGCAGATGAGGGTCGTTGCGCCCTCTAATCCCCCATGGACAACCCTGTCAAGACTTTGCAAGAACCAGCATGTTCTCATCTCGTACCTTTCATGAAACTTGCATGTCCTCATCCTAGTCTCAGTCCGGCTTCGAATCCCACGATGCCCAAGCAATTTTTTGCAGCAAGCACAAAGACTGGGAAGTCCCGTCAAGATTTGAATCCAGAGACCACACGTTCTAATCCTCGTCCGTGCTCTGACAGCATATTCCTTTTGCCGTATGCGGAGCGTCCCAATCCTCCAAACACTTCGGCCTCCCGACACCTTCAAATCGCGCCATGTGCAACATTGAAGTGAAGCGTCCCGACACGTCCTTGTGCGACGTTCCCAGTATATGGAGCAGCCAAACAGCTCCAAATCGCATGCATGCTGCAGTGCTCAACAGCAGGAGGGAAAGTCAGCTGCAGAACCCACACTTTTCGCTTCTGAAAAAAGGACGGTTTTGGACATGTGACGTGTTAAATGTGAAAAGCATGTCAGCTTGTAGCGCCTTCTTTAGACGACTGCTGCAGCTCCCTCCGTGTGTGTTTTGTTTGCTCAATGGTGACTTGATCCCTGCCATTGGCCAGGGGTATGTAGCAGGGGGATACAGGAGCTGCAAGGGGTGGGGGAAAGAAGAGTTGCGCAAGATCCAGGTGTATGAACTTTCATAGATCTCGTGAACCTAAAGGATACAAAGATAAAGACGCACTGAGTTCGCAGCACTGCCCTTCAGGGAGCCTGAGCCGAAATGCTCGTGAAAATTCCGAGGATCCACCAAATCTTGCCTTTGCTGTAGAACCTAATGACAACAAAAGTGTGAAGCTGCTTGGCGTAGCTGAGCCAAAGCTAGGAAGCGCGGTGCAAAGGTGGCGAACGCCTCTTACATGGCTACTTGGGCTTAGCCTCCAGACCATGGTCCACTCTAATATGCTCCGCATCTGAACACGGTCGGAACTCTCCGAGCGGGCAGTGTTTTTGCCTTGCATGGAAAAGCGTCACTTCTGTCACACAATGCTTGCCTTATAGGCAGTGCAGGAACTCTGTTGTTTGCAAGCCTTGACCGCAGCATTGAGGCCCTACAGTAGCGTGCAGATCTAGCTGACCCAGGCTCGCTTTCCGGCATGACGGCAGTCTACGTGAGCGGGTTCGATTTTGAAACCCCGGAGAGCACCCTCGAGCACCACTTCGGTTCCATCGGCATGGTCAAGGAAGTGCGATTTGTCGGAAAGGGCAGCGCAGTAGTAACTTACGACAGCACAGCTGACGCAAACCGGGCAGTGGACGAGCTGAACAACACCACCATGGAGGGAAATCGGCGGTATGTGAACGTGAAGATAGACGGCAAGGGCAAGGGCAAGGGCAAAGATGGCAAAGACGGAAAGGGCTACAAAGGTTACAGCGACTATGGCAAGGGCTACGGAAAGGGCGAGGGCAAGGATTATGGCAAGAGCCGAAGCAAGGGTAGGAACGACTATTCAGAAAGTGACATGGTTGATGGCGTGGTGGCGACCTTCCACGACGACAGGGGCTTTGGCTTCATCTCACCCAGCACAGGTGGAGATGATGTGTACGTGCATTTCTCAGCAATCGAGACTGAGGATTCCTATCGTGCCTTCGGCTCTAATTCATCCTAGCAAAGGGTTGTTGTTTGAGGACAGCTAGAAAGATCAAAAGGCCAGGACTTGAATTGCAATGCTATGGTGCGATCATGCTTTCAGATGCTCCCAACGTTGCAGGCACACTTTCTGCGGGTCAGAATGTGCGCTATGTTCCTGGGGAAGATCCCAAAGGCAAAGGCAAGGGAAAGACCAAGGCGGTGTGCGTCATTCCGAACTGAGATGGACTGAGATGCGTTGCTTTCACCGTCTGTTGGGCAAGCGCCCAGACAAGGCATTTTTAAAGATCGCTTAACTAGGAACGCAGAGCCCCCGAGAGCGCGAATGATCCCTGGCGGCGTAGCTTACCTTGCACCATCCCTCCTGCCCAGAAATCGTTTGGCCTGACCGACCTGAGAACCGGGGATTCTGCAGAGGGGTTGTTGTTTCCTGGCAAGTTTGTGCCCGCTCCAATAATCTATCTTTACTTCTTGTTTCTGCCGCATCACTGCGGGCAGCTCGATTTTGGATTCCTTCGCCTACATACAAAGTGGAAAATGAAATTCTTTGGCCGGTGCACAAGGGAGTGGTTTCCATGTACCCAGCGCATGATGATGATCATGATCGTCTTCCTCATCATGATGTTTTTCCCTGGTATGTCTCAGTGGCAAAACCTCCATGAACAGTTGGTTCGTCTTCATTTCCATCTAATGGTTAAGCGAAGGCAATCGTTGCAGAATGGGTGACGCAGAAGCAACGTGGAGGTCTTCCTCTTGGACATGTTTCATGACTATAGCGTCTACAGCGTAAAGAACATGCTCTAAAAGCCAGTCCCGCATGCCCTGCCCTGTAATCCGAATCAAGGCCCAAACCTTGCCTAGAGCTTGCGTCTGTCAAATGGCAGTTTCTGGCAATGCTTGCACTAGAACGTCATGCGGAAAATAATGTAGGCTGATGATGGTTTCTCAGAAGCCATGCGGAGTCAAGCGCTTTCCGCGCTGATCCCCATCACTGCGCTACTCAATAGAGCCTACTGCGGGGCATTGACTCTCGCGCACTTGCTTCCGCTGCTTCTGGCTTGGTTTCGCTCGTACCTGCTTGGACGCTTGGGCAGCCCATAGCGAATCAAACTCCCCTGTGGCTCCCCTCTGGCTTGTGGCCTGCTGCAGGAGATGGTGACGCAAGTTTGGCATTCGACTTAGTTGGCAGCTTTTGCGCAAAGCCTGAGTGTTGGCTTATAAGATTCAGGTCTCCGCAGGAAGATATTGTACTGACTTTGCAAAAAGTTTGCAGATGTTTCGTAGACTGGGGCGCCCAGGTCTTGCAGATTTGGGGCAGGCTTTTGCTTGCTTCAGCCAGGGTGTTGCGAAATACTGCAAAATCCATTGTGTTTGCAGCTGTCTCCAATCAGAATTACTGCAAAATCCTGTCTGCAACCAAAATGCAAATAATCTGGAAAACACACTGTATTTCGCAGAGCTCGACTTTTGCTTCAAAACTGCACCAAAACAACCAAGAAACATACCTGCGACATGTTTGCAAGAAGATCTGCAACATAATCTGCACTCCAGATTCCTAATTGCAAAACCTCCCCCAATCGGCAAAAGCTCTGAACAACTTGCTAAACAAAATCAAGCGAACACACCCTCTGAGGCTATAGCCATAAACGCGCAAAGGCACCAGCTCTCTGACCCAGGTGCTATCATGGATCCTCAGCGTCTACGGGCTCAAAAGCAAGAGAAAGGATTGCTGGGCCCATGCTCCAGGCTGTTGCACATTTTGTAGAATAAGCAACTCAATTGAAGGACGTCAAGCTTAAAGGCTTGCGCATCTTGTGGCTTCACTTGACAGGCAAGCGGCGTTCAGAAGCGCAACTTGTACTGTTTGGGTGGAAGCAACTTGGCCAGCTAAACTTCTCCCATCTGCCGCGCTTGCGTTTAATGATGTGTTTAATGGGTCTCCATGTTCACGCATGCCCAGTATCTGGATTCATCTGAGGCTCTCGTATTTTTCCGGGAAAGTTCGTGGCTACCTCAGGCAGGGGTTTGAAAGCTTTGAAAGGGTGACAACCCAATTTGCCATTCATCCTGCAGGTACAAGGCTCGCAAAAACCCTGAGCTCAGCTTTGAGGAGGCTCAGTGTGGTACAGCTATGCGCAGCTAAGGTGAGCGTGGATAGGTGTCCCAGGATCCTGCTCCCTCTATGGAATCTTGTGCCCCCCAAAAGAGCTCCACAAGTTTGAAAACCTGTCTCTGGAAAAATCATTCCGTAGCCTCCCATATGAAGGATGCGTACCGCGGAGGGCGATGCTTTGTCTCCCTAGAAGAAGTGTAACACGCACACACACAAAGTGCATCACGATCGTTCGAAAGAGCAAGATCGTCACGATCAGGATGTTGGGGCATAAGGGGTATTGGCGTAGTAGCCAATTTCGACATCGCAGCCTCGGGCCATTGACATGCTTTGCGTTTCCAAGTCAATGATTCCGTCATCACGTTTCCACATGAGCTTCAGGTTCCTCAACTGGGAGAGAAACCTTGCACACGCAACACCCACATGATGCACATCCTGCAGACCGAACAATCTTCTTTGGGTGTCTTGAAAATTTTGGATTCGGGGTGGAGTCGAACAATTGGAGGGAGAGGGTTAGTTTGGGCTTTCTTATGCTAGGCTTGTGGGTCAATTATCCTTAATGACCCTTCCAAGCCACTTCTACTTCTACTGGCAGCACAACGCCAGGTGACAGCATCGCCTTCCATAGTTCGAGATGTGCTGCTGCCTTCCACCGGGTCGTCAGCTGTGCCACAGGTCAGGATACCAGGACGGGACGGTGTGACACGAAAGCCAAGCCCAATGCAGACAGTTTCCTTTCCAGGCTTTGCGAATCATGGGCCACTGTTCTGGTCCAGAAGGGATGGGGAGCATACTTTTGTGGGGCCTGCAAGGGCTGGCACACATCGACAGTGGTGAAAAATCGTTGGAAAGAGAAGAGCCCCATCTCTAGCAGTGCTGCTACTGCTTCACTTACTGCAACTTCCAGTGCTGCACTGCCCCTGGTTGTCGCCGTCATGTTAAAGCTTGTCGTAGCAGAGTGTGATTTGCGCGTTTGAATAAAACGAAGTAGAAAAAGTACCGTCGTGCTTCACTGCAGAAGCAACATTGCACTGCGCTTCAAAAAGTCATGATCAGTGGGCCATTCTTTGCTTTCGCTCTGCTTTTGGGTGCATGTTGAGGTGGCTATGGCAGTTCATGGTATCATAGAGAAGTTTAGAACAGACAATGGACTTTCCGTGGCTCCAGTTTCAATCTTGACACTGACCCCAAATTACTTGGGCACGCTCTTAGGGCCTTGGGGAATATGGAGGCGATGGCGCTACGCTAGATTGTCTTTCAGTTCCGGCCGTGAGTTCCGCCACGAAGTCCTGCCACCGTATGATGAGCGTAGGATCAAAACTGTCAGGAAGCTTGCTCAGAAGAATAGGAAAGTTGGCTTCATGGTGGCTACCGGGGGTGCCATGTCTGCTTGGGTCAGACAGTGAACGGAGAATCCGAAGATAATTCGCTGCACCATCTGTGATGAACCTGAGCATTATTGGCATCACATGCAGAGATGCATTCATCCATATTGAGTGCACTGCCCTATCTGACTCTGAAGGCGGGCATCTGTCTGAAGTGCATCAACTTGGAGTTTGGTAGTTCAGCCTTGTCGTGCGCACTTTGCAAGACACATCTCTCCACCACGTAAGCAAAGGGGTGATGTGACCCTGATGTGACCCCCTCGCAGCGGTGCGTCTCGTGGGGATTCGCGCGTTCTTGCTGGGCCGATGCGACTGAAGTAGGTCACCCTCCAAGTCTAGAGCCACCACTGCCGGGCAGTCAGGAGGAGAGATCATCCAGGACTCTAAGCTCATCTTTGAGGCCATCGAGGCACAATTTCCGGAAGGGACAGTGCTTCCACCGCTGGAGAGGCCGCAGCAACGCCTGACTTGCCTGTGCTTAGGCGGCACAAAAGCTTAAAAAGAAACAGTGATTTCAGAGCCAGAGGGAAGAATGTCAAATAGCAACGGACACATGAACAGCCTCCACTGGTTTTTGCCGAGATTGGGCACCACCTGGCGCTGAGGATTCTGGAACTTCTCGGAGACGAGTGGCCCTTGCACTCTGATTATCACCATTTGTTCATTTGCAATCGCTCTACAACCCATATATAAGAACAAAGCGTTGGCTGGAACACTCAGTACTTCTCTGTCGATCCAGGAACAGTACAGGCTCTTGGTGCCAGCCTTCCATTGGCGCTGGGCCTATTCGGGCAATGGCACCAATAGCCAGGCAATGCCAACCTTCATGGAGGGCCTGCAGCCACTTCCAAGCCACAGACGCCACAACGAGGCCTGCGCTTGTGACATGACAACCTTGAGGTCAGGGAGGTATTTGCTAGCCATGTGGACTCTGAAGGATGCAGGCTTCCCTGCAACTGACAGGAGCAGTGGGGCGCCTTCCTTAGGCCTGAGGAGGGCCTCGAGGAACAGCGCCGCGCTGCGAAGTTTCTTTTCGACCACCTCTTCCTTACAGAGTTGGGTATTAAGCGGCAGATGCGGCTGCTCGGGGTCACGCAGGAGTGGTCTATCACAGCATAATTAATGATTTTTCACTCACCCAGACTCTTGACCCCCACCCCCAACCCCGAGATTTTAAAGAGTAGGTACAGTGATTAGAATGCGATGTCATTCCAATTTTTTATCGCTTTTATACAGACTATCTTTGTTTTGGAAAACTTGTTCATTCAGTTCTTTTTGCTGGATCAATCTGGGGTAGGATTTTTTTTTACAAAGCCTGTTTATACTGCTTTTGCCGGGGGAGGAGGTCTAGAATTCATTGGTCGTTATCATTCATCATAGTACAAGTCATCACCTTGCGTGTTACTGCTGCGCTGACTACCCGTTCTATTCTTTCTGCTCAGGGTATCGGCTGCAGATCAAAGTTGTTGTTTTTTCCCTGTCCTTGTGGTCTTTGTCAAGTGTGAAAAGCGTGTTTCATAGAGCTCTGCCCAGTGAAGCTCTCAATCATGTCCTCAAGACAGTGGGACTGGCCATCTCAGCGTAGCGGCAAGCGAAGACAAAGATACTTGTGTCGTGCTTTTGCTGCTGGGCATCGCTTGCTGCTATTTCGTTGCTCCCTTGCAGTGTTCAAAAGTTAGTTCAGAGATTCATGAGGCAACTGGCAGCGGGTGGCACTTCAGAAT